TTATGAAATGTCTAATGTGTTTTAACTTGGTCAAAACGTACGTTAACACTGGAACCACACCGTTGATTACTCATTTAGCTACTAAGCATACGAACGAATATGCAAAATTACGCGATGAATTAGACGAGCACAGTGGTAAAAGACAAAAAATCAATCAAGATTATTTACCACTTGATTCGGATAGATCGCAGTATTTAACAAATATGGTTTTTAAATTGATTACTCGTGAATTATTGCCATTATGTCTGGTTGAAAGTCCTGATTTAAAGGATATTATGCAACATGTTGAACCTGCATACAAACTCCCAAGTCGTAAACATTTTACAGAAAAATTATTGTCACAAAAATATGACGAAGCACGCCTACAGGTCAAAGTACGATTTAATGAAACAAAATTTGTATCAATTACAACAGACAATTGGACATCTGTGGCCAATGAAAGTTACATCACAGTAACAGCTCATTTTATAACAGCTAATTTCGAGATGGTTAATTTGAATTTAACCACATACGAATTCCCAGGCAGTCATACAGGTAATCGAATTCATGAACAGTTGGAAAGTATCTGTAACGACTGGAACATATTGGATAAATTAGTTTGCATAACAACGGATAATGCAAGTGCTGCTCTTAATGGTGCGAGGGATTTCGATGGTGTAGAAAGTTTTGGTTGCTTCGCATATAAAATCAACTTATCAGTTACGTCAGGCACCAGAAGTCATTCTGATACAATTGCAAATGTTCGTAAGTTTATTGCCCATGTTCGTCGAAGTACATTAGCCTTTGAAGAAATAAAAGTCGAACAGAAGAAGATCAACCGTACAGAGCGAAAATTGATATTGGATGTAAGCACAAGGTGGAATAGTACTTACTACATGTTACTTCGTTTAGTTGATGAAAAGATACCTGTATCTGCTTTCCTATTAAAAAAAAAAATTGCTAAACGATTAAAAGATGAAGACGATGACTCGTTGATAATAAACTGGCAAACCATTGAGGCTATAACCAAAATATTAAAGCCATTCGATACTGCTACAAAGGAATTATCGTTCGAAGGAAAGCCAACAATGTCAATATTGCTACCAACATTCATGCAGTTGTTACGTCTGCTTGAAACAAATGCATCGAATCTTATTGTTAAAGAAATACAAGATGCCATATGGGATGACTTTATCGAGCGTTGTCGAGACCTTTTTCATAGTAAAGTCGTACAACTAGCTACAATTTTGGATC